GAATTCAATTTCCGATCAGTAATTGGTCTTTTTTTATAATTTCTGCTGATTCGGAAGAATTCCTTATAAATCTGATATGATGAGGGAATATTTGGGGAACTCAATTTTAATTTCCAATTAGCCGTATGTGTTCGATATAATTTCTGATATTTCGGAAGTACAGCCGATCAACCTGATATGATAAAGATATACCTATATGGAAAAATCGATGACAATTCTTCTATAAGTCGAAGGCCCTGAATATGATTTCTGATAATTCGGAAGAATTCATTATCACTTTGCTAGGGTGTATATGGATCATTCGATTTCAATTTCCGATCAGTCGTAGGTCTTCGATATAATTTCTGATAATTACCCACCATTCGTAGGTACGATACAATTTTTGGTCACACGAAAGAATTCCTGATCAATTTAATATGGTAAGGGCATAAGGACAACTCGATTTTAACTTCTGATCAGGAAGTTTTTTTTTTATAATTTCTGATAATTCGAACGAATTCCTGATCAACCTGATTTGATTGAGATATATATGGAAACTTGGTTGCAATTGTTCTATTAGTCGAAGACCTTCAATATAATTTCTGATAATCCGGAAGAATTTCTGAACACTATGATATGGTACATAGGGTACACATTATGGTGAAATCGATTTCAATTTCCAATCAGTCATAGGGTTTCCATATAACTTCTGATAATTCGGTGAAATTTCGAAATAATTCCTGATCATCCTTGTATTTTGAAATACATTCGAACTGCCCGAAGTTCTTCAGAAGGATTTCTGATTAATTTGATATGTTGATGGAATATATGGAGAACTCAATTTCAATTTCCTATTAGTCATACGTGTTCGATATTAATTCTGATAATTTGGAAGAAATCCTGATCAATTTTATGTGATGAGGGAACATATGGAGATCTCGATTTCATTTTCCGATATAATTTCTTATTATTCGGAATAATTCCTGATAATTCCAATATGATATGATCAAGGAATTAATGGAGAATTTGATTTCAATTTACAATCAATCGAAGGGTTTCCATATAATTTCTGATAGTTTGGAAGAATTTTTGACCATCCTTGTATTATGAAATATATTCTAACTGCCCGAATGTCTACAGAAGGATTTATGATCAATTTGATGTGTTGGTGGAATATATGGAGAACTCATTTTCAATTTCCGATAAGTCATACGTTTTATATATAATTTCTGATTATTCGGAAGAATTAATGATCAATTTGATGTGATGAGGGAATATGCAGGATTCGATTTCAATTCCCGATAAGTCGTAGGTCTTCGATAGATAAGATAAGATTTTGAAGAACTCCTGTTCAGTTTGATATGATGAAAGAATATATGGAGATCTCAATTTCAATTTCGGATCCGTCGTAGGTCTTCGATATAATTTTTGACATTCGGAAGAATTCCTGATCAATTTGATATGATGAGCGAACTAGCGAAAAAGGACTCGTGGACCTACGAACAAGAAAATGTGGCAACGTGGTAAAACAAATGCGTAATTGCTTATTGCTTCTTTACTATGTCCGTGACGAATTTACAGCGAGAATGTTTAGCGCATGGTTTGGAAATTGAAAAACCATGCTACAAATTTTCGAAAATCATATGTTTATGTATACCATCATGTTGTGCATAGTCTGCAGAATGTCCTGGTATAAAAATATGGTATACTTTCTTGGGAAATTCCCGGGAAAACATAGGCGCAAGATTGCATTTCCTTGCGCGCACATATACACTCACGTGCATATTCTCTTTGGGTGGAAATGCCACTTTCCCGGAAAAAGCACACCACTTGAAGTTGAATGCACTTTTCCACCCAAATTTTACCCCACTAGGAAAACAAAATCCTTGGCTACGGACGGACGGAATTTGTTTCCCGATATTCGCTTTCCTTCACAGGATTTTCGGGACGTTTCCTGGAAAACCACCCAAATCACAGACAAACGGCTCAAAATGTCCGAACGATGGCCTTAAAAACCATTTCTCTGCGTGAAGCTGCCTTAGCGAGCAATTTTCATCAAGACAACCATCAATGTCTTTTACATAAAAATTATAAAGAAGGGGTCTTAAACATGAGCCCTGGGGGAGACCCATGTAACTAATTCGTGAAGTTGTCGAGTTTCCATGAGAAAAGCTCATATATTTCTCAGACAACAAGTTACTCAAATAGTTGTTCATAATTGGTGAAAGCCCACTATCGTGGATTTTTATTATGCTGTATTGGAAAAAAAATCGGAAATTTGGTTCACTTAACTGTACTGACGCATAAAAGTCCCACTGGGCATAAATATTGCATAGAACATGGGACAGTTATGCGTATAACGGCAGTTTAGTAATGTGAAAAGAAGATCGATGAAGAGAATCGATCATCGCAGTTAGGCCCTTATGATTCTGAACGCTAAAGATGATCTTTTCTAAAGGTATTTTCCTAATAGAGAGAGAGAGGAGACAATCCCCCCTATTCTGCGAGTCACGTGAGTCTCTCTCACCATTGATGTGACAATAAATTGTCGCCTCGTGTGAGACGACTCTTCATTTTATTTGCACAGAAAGTAACCACACACTAGGGGGCGACCCCGGCGTAGTGGTTAACATCCATACCTCTCACGCCAAAGTCACGAGTTCAAATCACACCCCCGGAGAAGTCACGAATGACCCAAGAGTGTTAAAGTGACTATAATAATAAAATAAAGGGTGATACGGTCAAAATTTGGTCAATATCAACTTGACGTATTTCTTTCAATTTTGCATTTAAAAAACCTGAACACCCCTCATTTTGAAGGTGTGTGTGTGTAGAATGTTGCTCCTATTTTGATTTTGGAATTCACTCTTCAGTTGTCAAAATGCCGTCCAAGCAAGAAGAGCAGCGTATCAAAATTTTGCTCGCGCATCGCGAAAATCCGAGCTACTCGCACGCAAAGTTGGCAAAATCGCTAAAAGTTGCCAAATCAACCGTTACAAATGTAATTAAAGTGTTTGGGGAACGTTTGTCGACAGCCAGGAAGTCTGGATCGGGGGGAAATCGAAAACCGGAAGCCGCTGAGACGACAAAGAGAGTTGCCGGTAGTTTCAAGCGAAACCCTAACCTCTCTCTCCGAGATGCCGCAAATAAGCTGGGTGTATCGTCTACAACCGTGCATCGAGCCAAAAAACGAGCCGGACTATCGACTTACAAGAAGGTAGTGACTCCAAATCGCGATGATAAACAAAATACGACGGCCAAAGCGCGATCCCGGAGGCTGTACACGACGATGCTGACGAAGTTTGACTGCGTGGTAATGGACGACGAAACCTACGTCAAAGCCGACTACAAGCAGCTTCCGGGACAGGAGTTTTATACGGCAAAAGGAAGGGGAAAGGTAGCAGATGTTTTCAAGCACATGAAACTGTCAAAGTTCGCAAAGAAATATCTGGTTTGGCAAGCCATCTGTACCTGTGGCTTGAAAAGCAGCATTTTCATAGCTTCCGGGACTGTCAACCAAGAAATTTACGTGAAAGAGTGTTTGAATAAACGTCTGCTGCCTTTCCGGAAGAAACACGGTTGTTCCGTACTGTTTTGGCCGGATTTGGCATCTTGCCATTACGGTAAAAAGGCCATGGAGTGGTACGCCGCCAACAACGTGCAGGTGGTTCCCAAGGACAAGAACCCTCCCAACACGCCAGAGCTCCGCCCAATTGAGAAATACTGGGCTATTGTCAAGCGGAACCTAAAGAAGACCAAAAAAACTGCTAAGGGCGAGCAGCAGTTCAAGGCAAACTGGCTTTCTGCGGCGAAGAAGGTGGACAAGGTGGCTGTACAAAATCTGATGGCAGGGGTCAAGCGTAAGGCCCGGCAATTCGGATTTGGAAAAGCGGAAGCCTAACTGAATATTTTTCCTGAATTTTATACTAATTGAACTTGAAAAAGAAATTTAATTTGATTTTTTAAATAAACGATTTCACCGATTTACACGCGTTTTCCCTTGACCAAATTTTGACCGTATCACCCTTTATGACACCACACCGAACGCCGTTACCCCGAAATTAAGACAAATGGAAGAACAGCATGTTATCAAAAAAGGGTAAATTTTTGAGAAGAATACAAATAATAAAAAGTAAATAAATAGTAAATAGTAAATCATTTAAATTTGTCGAACCTCTTAACGGAATCCCTTTATGAAGAGCTTTGAGTGGGTTGGTTTACTGCCTTTAAATTCCGTTATAATTGCTTATCTTTTGAAAGATACGCGTATTTCGTCTACTACTTGCAGACTTCATCAGTGCCAAATACCAAGTGGTGTTGAGTACTTGGCACTGATGAAGTCTGAAGTAGTGGGGGTAGTGTCATATAATGACAGAGAGTCACGTGAATCGCCGAATAAGGGGGGATAGGGGGACTTTTATGAACCAATTTTCTGTCAAAAGTGAACCAGCGACTGATTGGTCGGGCGAACGTATATAAACGCGAGAATTTTTACAACAGGGAATCTATTTTCTTGTATTTTGACAGTCGACTGCGTCGCTCAAAATGAAATAGTTTTTGCACGGTCGTTTCTGCGAGAGAAGAAGAAAACGTCACAGACAAAAAGAAGCCAGTTGTCTTCTCTTTCTCTTAGGTCTTTTCTGCATTGATCTTTTGTCTTCGATCGATTATCTCTTTCGTTAGTTAATAACTCTGCTTTAAAAACTTACCATGTTGTGTTTGACGATTTGGTGGCTAGATATCCGATTGAAAAAGATAATCCACGCATCTTTTTTTTTTTATTCTCTTATTTTAGATCGAATAGGGTTAATAAATTTTCTTTCATCAAACTATGTGTTGAAAATAGCACGAAATGTGTTACAAACATTCATCTTGAATATCGGGTTAATGGGCTGGTCGACGTGAGATGTATTTTTAAAAGACCATGAAACATTACCTCATGAGAGTATATGGCTAACATAGCATACAACAGCACCTATACATTACAAAATTAACAAAATTATTTTTTTTTACATTTTCAGAAACATTAATAGTGTACTTGGAAACAATTCCTTTTAGTTAAGGAAAATGTTTTATTAGTCTCATTTATAAAACGAACGACAAATTTGGTAAGTAAACCCTCCGACTTCTAAAGTGTCACTATAGTGTGTAAAAAGCTCTTTGTTCAACTCTTCAATAATACATATACGATAGACGTATAAATTCGTATCGAATCGTTATAGTATAAGCTTCATAAAATATAAAATCTGAGATAACTGTTCCTGAGTATAAATTGTTCAAAATAATAGCAGTTTTTTATTTGAAAATTTACATGCTGCAAATATTTTAAACATTTTTAACTATTATTTACATTTGTAAATTGGGCCGGGTCGGTATTAGTCTAGCCGGAAACATCACACCAACCAGCTGCAGCTTACCGCCGTAATGTTCTGTCTTCTCTGCTGAAGCTGCTGCCATCTCCATCGCTGCTACAACGCTCTCCAACCGACGGATCCTGGTCCTCACGGATTCGCACAGCGTCATACAAGCCCTAGCCCTGACATCCGAGGTCCCGACTCATCCCTGGGTACAGGCGACGATGAAGTCCGCGCCATCAAACACGGTATTCTGCTGGGTTCCGGGGTACTGCGCAATACCAGGCAACTCTGAAGCTGCCTTCCTGGCTGGGGCAGGACCATCTGCCCCTCGCTATACTAACGAAGTACCGTTACACGATGTCAACTGCTGGATCGTGAGCAAAGTACGGGAAGCTTGGGACGCAGAGTGGGCTCAGACGGATCAAAGGGACGACGAAGAAATTGACAGAACAGTTGAACCAGCGGAATCAGAAGATAGCGTCGCGTTTGAGGACCGGTCACACCAAGATCTCGCACAATTTCGGTGGAACGCCGTTCCTCAGGACTTGCGTCGGTTGTAGAACTCCAGCCTCAATCGAGCACATTCTATGCGTGTATGCCCTCAGTATCAGAACCTGCGGGAATTCCACGGGCTTCCAAATAGCATACGCGACATGCTGGGTGATGATCCCTCCACACTGGCAGCAGTAAAGAGTTTTTTTTAAAGGATGCTGCATTGTATTTTAAAGTAAAGAAAAAGAAAGCGCAAAAAAAATAATAAAAACTCGCTTCATTAGATGGATCTTATGGAAATCATATGCTATTTTTACCTGAGTGTGACAGATACGTATTTCGACTACAATGTGCAGTCTTCATCAGTGTCATTCCCACTAAAGAACTTATCAAAACCTTACCCCCTCATCCCCTAGGTAAAAATTTCAAGATCACAGGTATAAAAATGATTAATAAATACCAAATAAAAACCAAAGATTTAAGTAAACTAAAGGAGAAAAATCGCTAAAAATCTCTAATAAGGAAAATAACCTGTGTTTTCTTCAAAATAGTATTCTTAACTACGGTCCTTGTTTCAGTGAAGAAGAAGTCATGAATAACAATATACGGACCTATAATAGTATACATACAAATTCACAGCTCTAAGCGAATGAAGTTGATCGACGATTGCGGTTTGGCCCTTTGCTTCTGAACGATGAAAATGTTTTCCCTCTTTTTGCAGCATTGTGAAAACTTGGATAATCCTTGACCACGTGTGGCATCATCGTCATGAAGTCAAACGGTCGCTTCCAGTCCGCAAAGAATCTTCAACCGGCTCGATCGCTGCGTACTCCAGTCCAAAACCGCCACGGTCCGGGCAACTATGGTCTACCAGTGGAACCGACAAACGCGTATCAGCAGCAAAGCACCTATCAACCAGGTTTTAATGGTAACGGTGGGGGAGGTGTTTACGGCACCAATAATGGCTATCGGTCACCGCCATCGGCATCAGTGACAAATGGTTTCAGAGGACACAATAACCACAACAACAACATCGGTAATGGCTTCCCGGCAGCGAAGGGTGGTCAAGGTCATCGTCGCCACGATGTACTCCGCTCACCCAATACCAGCTTCGGAAGCAATGTTAGCTTGGCCAGTAGCGGCAGCGTTAAGGAAATTCCGACTATTGTCACGTTCAGCTCTATCTCGTTGCAAGTTGGATCCATTCACGAGATTTACGTTTCGTTTGTCGAAAATGGACCAAAGCTATTCACGGTTCAACTGAAGGCCAAGGAGAACTCGCTCACTAAGATGATGGGAGCGCTGGAACGGATCTCGTTACGAAATCTCATTCATAAGCCTACGCTGGGAATGGCATGCATTGCTCGGTACTCCGAGGATAATGTGCTGTACAGAGCTTTAATCATGAGAATTAATGTAGACTCTTGTCTGGTGTCGTACGTAGACTTTGGTAATTCGGAAATAGTTGAGTTCAAGAATCTGTACGAAATTCCCCAAGAGTTCCTTAAGAACAAGGTATTCTCGATGAGATTTACGCTGTCGAATGTAAAAACCCTGGAAGATACCAATGCAGATATTGCAGGATTATTTTCCTCTTTGGTGGTCAATAAGGTGCTTAGCATGAAGGTGATGCCGCTTGAGGGACCAGCTTTCGTACAGTATTGCGAGCTATACGAAAACAATGAGAACATATTTGAAAAATTGCTCAACCTCTGCAAGTCTAAACCGCTCAAGTATCCGGCCGCTATCACATTGAATCGTGGCAGTAACTGCATGATTATCATTCGATACATTGAGTCATGCCGGCAGTTCTATGTACAACCGTTGGAAAATGTCGAATGTTTCGACAAATTGATGGACCAGTTGGCGGACTTTTGCCGCAAAAGCTCGACATTCAATGTGATGAATATTGGAGATACATGTGCTGCCTGTCTGAGCGATGACGAGTGCTACAGAGCAGAGGTTGTAAGCGTTGCGGGCAGTAAGGTCAAAGTTCGTCTTGTTGATTACGGAAATACCATCATAATTGAGAAGAGCCAGGTTAAGCGTCTGACGCCGAAATTCGTCGAGCAGCAACCGCAGGTCGTTAAGTGTTGCTTGGAAGGATTTCAGGTACGGCTTTATCTTACAGATATGGTTGTCAATGCTCAGTTATCTACTATTCATTTTACAGGAAATAAACGACGACAATCTATCGACTGCTCAACTGGAAATGTTGGGTGAGAATGAAATTGGTGAGAGGAAACAATTCAGACTGATCGTCTCCGATGTTGTCAATGGAATTGCGATCGTTAATCTGGTGGATGAAGCCAGTATTCCCGCTCTGAACATTTCCAAACGACTGCTGAAGCTGAACAATCCGGCAAAGTTCATGAAAGAGCAGATGCAGCAACAGCAGAAGCAACAAACCGCCAGCAAACCTCCATCAGTCTTCCATTCATCTCCCCCATCGGTGGCACACCAAGCACCGTTGTTGCCGACCTATCAGGCCCCACCGGTAGCTATTCATCCACTGAATCCATTCCACTCGTCATCGACCATATCGGAAGTTCCGAATCTGTCGCAAACAACTCCACCGAGAATGGCAGAAAGCGAAGTCATTGATCTGACCACTGACGAATGGCCAGGAGCCAATGTTCAACCACTTGGGCATCACAGTTCTGGCTATGAGGAGCAACATTATCTTAACAGTGGAAGTAATAGCAATGGAAGCAACCGCGCCGGAGTGGCATCAAGTAATCGCAGCGGACGCGACAGTATGAACACTAGCCGTGATGCCAGCCAGAGTAGCAGTGGTTTTGGCGGTACCAAAACGGATCGCTTTAAACGACCGGACATTCCGCGTTTCAGTAACAGGTTGGTTTGATTATTTTTTTAATGAGTTGATTAGAGATTTATTTTTTTCATTTGGATCTGTTTTAGAAATCAAACGCCGTACTTCATCGAGCATGACGATCGATGTGATAATCAAAATAACTACGATCAGCTGGAGAAAGGCCGCAGTCGAGATAAGCCCGTTGCGGTGCAACGCAATAACCGTCACAGCGGAAGTGCAAGCGGAAGCGAGTCTGGATTTAAACATCAATCTGGAGACAGGTATGTTGCTGTTTCACGATGGACCTTTCTTGGCATTTCCCACCAAACTGGACAAATAAACGCGTTTTCAGTTATTAAAAAGTGTGATAAAAGTTTTACTACTTTTATCACACTTTTTGAATTTTTGCAAAAAAAATTGCAACCGTATGATCCAAATTAATTAATTCCTTTTTATTCACAGAGCTAACTACTCTCAGGACAATTGGAAGTCATCTACTGTTAGCATAGAGTCCACCGAGGATTACGTAGCGTACGACTTCGCCTTTACCGAGCAGGTGATTCCCATGAATACGAAAGTCGACATCAAGCTAAGCTGGTGGACTTCGCCGGAGGAGTTCTACGTTCGCATGAAGGATGAAGAGAGCAAATTCGAGGACATGATGAAACAGATTGAAAAATTCTACCGAAACAAACCGGCTCTGAGCGAGGTTCCCCCTGTTGGCTCAACGGTGATTGCCCGCTATCAAAAGCACAACACATTCTACCGAGCGAAGATACTTAAGTATAACGAATCGCTCGGCAAGATCAAAGTGGAGTTGGTTGATTGTGGCAACCGAGCAGTCGTGACGAATTCTGACCTGTGGAAACTGGAGCGCCGGTTCGTGAAACTGCCTAAGCTAGCCATTCAGTGTACGTTGGATAACATTAAAATCAACTGTGACGTCAAGGAGCTAGTGAACAAGATCAACAAGTACATCAGCAACGATCAACCGGTCCAGAGCGTTTTCTTAGACAAGAGCGAGGATAAGTATCTGTGCGATGTGGAAACGCAAGGAGTAGATCTCAAGATGGCACTTTTGAAGGACAATTTGATTGCGCAGATTTTAACTGGTGTGTTTTGTATAGTTTTATTTAAAAAATTAATCATAACCTTTTTTTTCTACCTTTTGCATTTTAGACATTGATCTCAACCGACTGAAGGGCCAAACTCTCAAGCTGAAGTTGGTGGAGATGAAAAGTCTGGACCAATTCCGAGTAAAGATCCTCGGTCACGATGCAATTCTCAATTGTCGCAACGTAGAGTCCGCAGGGTACCAACAATCGTTGGCGGATGAAATTCAGTCCAAATGGTTGGATCAGTACTGCTTTGGTCAGATCGAAGATGTATCAAATGACGAGAGGTTTGTTCAAGACTTACGATTTTTTTGTTTTGATTCACCCATCGACTATCGCCCTTTTTCTTTCAGATTGATACTGACGCTGCTGATTCCACCTTTCTCCAGCCAGGCGCAACCGACGATCGTTGACATGCCGATTCTACAAAGCAAGTTCATCGTTATGGTCACGTACGTACACGAGGTGAACTGCGTCTGCGTTCAGAACACCAAATGGGCTGACGAAATCGGAATGCTTCTGGACGATATGTACGATTACTACGAAAAAAGTGGCGAAGTGATCACCAATCTCCAGATGAACGAGCTATGCGCATCCAAATCAAAAGATGGGAATTGGTACCGGTCGAAAATTATCTGTCTGCAAGAAATCGATAACATTGAGGTGCTTTTCGTTGACTACGGTAATCAGGAGCGGGTCAAACATGAAGATCTGAAGGTGTTGGAACCGCAGTTCCACGAGTATAGTGCCTTTGCCCACAAGGTGTATCTACCGATGACTTGCCTAAACGAAGGGGAGGAAGATAAGCTCAAGGTGGAAATCTCCAAACTATCCGGAGAGTATGAGATGGAGCTGAAAGTGCTGGACTATAGGAACGGTATCTGGATCGTTGATATCACGTCCAACGACTACAGCATCGTGCAGGCGCTGAAGGACAAGCAACTTGCGAAGGACTTGGATCACGAAGAGATCGTGAATAGGAAGACAACTGTGATTGACAGTACGGAGATTACCTCGTCAGGTGGCCAACCGGAGGCAGGAGAGGAGGAACAAATAAACCAAAAATTACAGGCTTCCATAAGCCACGTGGACAATCCGAATCAGTTGTTCTTACAAATGAATTCCGATTTGGAAGATTTACATCAGCTGCAGGAAAATTTGCAGATCATTGCACAGGCCTTACCATCGCTGAAGGATTTCTCAGTGGACCGTTACTGTATCGCTCCATACTCAGCGGATGATTTGTGGTACCGTGCCAAGATCATCGACAGTCACGATGATTTGATTATCCAGTTAATCGACTATGGCACTAGTGATGTGATAACTAGTAATAAGAAACACGAACTGAAGGACGTTAACGAAAGTTTGATGAAGTTTAAGATTTTTGCGAAGCAGTGTTCTCTGTTGGTTGGGCCAGCTATGGGAAAGAGCTGGAGCGAAGAGGCTACCATGATTCTGCGAGAACTGAACGAGGTGGACGTCCAATTCCTAGTGGAATGTGAAGGATTGAATTACATCGAATTGAAAAGTGGAGACCGTGATTTGGCAGAGGAACTTATCGCGAAAAAACTTGCTGAAACGATGGAATACGTTCCATCGGGACAACTTTGTTTTACGAGTCACACTGAATCGATTCGGGAATTTTATTTACAACTAGAGCGGGACATACTCCAGCTGGATTCTCTCGTAGATTATATGGCGAAGTTTGAAGAATTCCCGTGTGTACCACAACCCACTGTTGGCTCGATCTACGCAGCAGAGTTCCCGGATGACGGTCTATGGTACCGTGCTCAGATCTTGAGCATTCTCGGAGATCAAAGCTTTGAAGTCTTCTTCCTTGATTACGGAAACACGTCGGTGGTTACTAACGTGCGAGCACTGGAAAAATCCGTCGCTGAATTACCGCTACTTTGCACCAAATGTATTCTAAGACTTCCCGACGGTGTCAAGATGTGGTCGGACGAGGCTGAAACGAAGTTCAAGGAAATTGCTGACATGGGAAAAACGGTGTTCACGGTTCAGCTTCATAGTCCCGGACTAGCTGCAACCGTTGATCTCTTCCTCGATGGAAATAACATCAACGAGCAGTTACTCGATCTTTGCGAAAAGGGCTCAGTCAGTGTGATGAACTCGAGTTTCTATCTGAACGAAGAGAAAACTCTTGATAACAGTTTTCCATCGGAGGGATTCGTTATCGTCAGCCACGTCAATTCGCCGGCTGATTTCTACATTCAATTCAAGGACTCGTTCAACGCTCTCAAAAACATGGAGGAACTTCTAATGATCACAGCAGCACAGAGTGATCGGATGGTTCATGAAGACGTTGTCGAAGGAATGTTCTGTGTGGCTTATTCCAAGGCCTACGATAAGTACCACCGGGCTCAGATAGTTTCAATCGGCAGTCACCAGTACAAGGTGCTTCTAGTCGACCACGGCTCCACCACATTTGCCACTGAGCTTCGGAAAATGCCCGTAGAAATCAAGCAGATTTCCGTACTGGCTAAGAGATGTTGTCTCGAAACCTATTCCCTCGATTCTAGTACGCTGGAAGTGGCGAAGCAACGGTTCGTAGAACTGATCAAATTGGCCAGTTCGTTTTCGTTCGAAATTGTCCGAAACGACATCGAACCGAACATCGTTCGTCTCTTCACCGAAGACGGACGCAATGTGGAGGATTTGCTCGAATGCGAAGATGAGGAACAAACTCTCAAAGCCCCGACGGCATCGAAAATTCTGCCTCCTCCCACACCGGCCGATCTGACTAAAACGTTGCACCGCGCGAAACCGAAGCAGGCCTTCTTCCGCGAGAAAAGTGATCTAGACTTTAACGTACTAAGTTGAAACGACAAATGAGACGAACCAAAATTTAAAACGAGATTGTTGATATCAAACGAAAATTATCCAAAAAAGAAGTTAATAATTCGAATTTTTAGGCTGTAAGGAACGACCGTCAGGAAACCCTGAACTTATTATTTAGTGAATGGATCCCTCATAAGCGATTGAATTGTTCTTTTAGTTGTTTTTCTTCTTCTTCTTTTTAAATGACGTTCAATTGCACATTGTTACTCATTTATTTATTCACCTGCACTCGAAGTTGTTACATTTTTAATTGGAAATTATTACCACGATAAACAGTCAAAATCAATAAACGTCCAAAGGAGGAACAAAATGTTTCCTTAAGGCCTAAATAACACGGCAGAGGCCTTATTTATACTCTTAAAACACCTGTTAACCGAACTGATCTTATGATTTCTAGCTAGTATGTAACGTAAAATGCCTTTTAGAATTAGAAAGCAAGCAGACATACGATTCCTTCAACCAGTTTATAAAGTAGTATTATAAACAAAAAGAAAATCACAAATCAGTGCGTAACATTTCAAAAAGGCATGGCCTTTGTGGATTTCCTTTTCGTCCTTTTTAAATGGTACGCAACATTTCGACGCGTAGGGGTGTACTGGAGGTGAAAATGAACAATTATTGACGTTCTTTTGAACTGAAACATTTTAGTTATTCTGAAGAATTCTGTCAACGCTGCTATAAAAAGAAAGTGTTTATTTTACCTCTAGTGCCCCTCCTCACTTGTATTCTACGTAAAGCAATAAGAAAAAGAAACATCGTTGTGTCACAGTAACACCACACAAATAGAACAAAAAAAAATTACATGCAATGCATATACGAAATGCCTTAACTGAATATTTATTATATTTAATAAAAATAAAAATGAAATTATACTACATTTTTTGTAAACTAAAGGTCTGGGTGAATTGACTTTGAAAGATTATCCGCACTGCCGGTGGACGCATATTAATTTGTCCCATGTTCTACACGGAAAAAAAGTTTTCATGTAGTTTGCATTGGGAATGCACATAATCCCTTCTATTCTGCGAATCACGTGACTCTCTCTCACCGCCCACCGGTGAGTTAACAATTGTCACCTCGTGTGAGGTGACTCTCCATTTGATTTGCACGGAGAGTCCCCTCACCGGTGACTCGCAGAATAAGGGGGAATATTTTTCCATTAACAAAACTAATGAAATCTATCTGAATTTCTCATAGCATTCATGTGATCACATGAGTTATATGAGGAGGTTGGAAGGAAAGGGGTGTAAATGACTTTGATCGACTTTCTCTTTATAAATAGATTTTGCGCTATTTCTGCCACATAGTTTGATAAAGGAAGTTCTCATCTAGCTCTCATCTCACCAAAATGGCACACGAATCAAGGAATGTGTTTGCAGCTGAATTTCCGTCTTTCTCAAGCAACACGTCGATAGCCTATGGGGCTCCTCTCTGCCATCTGTTCGAAATGTCCCTTGTTTCCTTCCTGTTGGAAATCAGCTGAGATGTTTCCAGTGCATAAGAAGGGATGCAAAAGTAACATCGACAACTATCGCGGCATCACACCATTGTGTGCCATACCTAAACTAGAAATACTCAGAGGGAGAGATAGGCGGAGAAAACAAAATACAATTCGGCAAAAATTGTTCCTAAATTATATTGCAACCCTTGCTAGAAGCTAGCATTTCAAATTACTTTTATTTTTGATTCGATTTACGTGCAAAATAATAATTGATTGCATCGCAATATTTTGCACATTTCTTGGTGCTATTCATTAACCCACGAAGATCAATTAATCAATAGAGTTAGAATATTGTTTTTGGTTCCAAAAACTAGTTGAATTTGAGAAGCACTCAAAACATGAAGGTGATTGAATTTCTGTTCGATTGCAATACTCTCAAATATATTCTAGTAAGAATAAGAAATCCTCGGAAAAAAATCATATTGGAATGTTCAATTGGCTCAGATTTTGACATACTCTCCGCCCATCTCTCCCCCTGAGTATTTCTAATCTAAACTGTTCGAGTTGGGGGCTGTTCATAAACTACGTTGACAGTTTTTTTGGATTCTTGACCCCCCCCCCCCCCTGCGTAGACAATTCGACAGTGAGCATGCATAAGGGCGAATACGCGATGATCGATTCTCTTCATCGATTTTCTCTTTGCATTGCTACAGCTAAGGGAAACAAGTTTCTAGAATTTGTTCAATGCAGAGTAGTAACAGGTTGTATTGGTTATCAAAACCAACAGCAAACGCACCGAGAAACGTTAAATCTAGCGAGTTATTAACAAAAAAGAAAATCGACGAAGAGAAACGATCATCGCGTATAGGCCCTTATGCATGCTCACTGTCGAATTGTCCATACAACAAAAAATATATGGGCTGTGGATAATTTCCAACCCCCCCCTAAACTGTCTACGTAGTTTATGGACAGCCCCTTGGTCGTTATGGAACCATTAGTCTCTCACTTCAAGCAGCACTTGTGCGAAAACCAGCATGGTTTCATGGCAGGGCGGTCGACTACTTCCAACCTTATGTGTCTCACCTCGTACATTACGGAGAGTATGACAGACCATATGCAAACAGATGTCATCTACACTGACCTATCAGCCGCCTTCGACAAGTTGAACCATCCCTTAGGGATCGCCAAACTGGATAGGCTCGGTATAAACGGCAGCCTCCTACGATGGTTCGCATCCTATCTATCTGATCGTCAGTTGGAAGTTGCAATCGACGACTGCCGATCTCCTTTGGTCCCTGCCACTTCGGGTATTCCGCAAGGTAGCCACCACGGCCCGTTGATATTTCTTGTGTATTTCAACGACGTCAATTTCGTCCTTGACGGTCCACGACTGTCGTTCGCAGACGACATGAAAATCTATCTCCGAATCCAAGCCATCGCTGACTGCCACCTTCTCCAACTCCAACTCAACGCTTTTGCTAATTGGTGCCAACTGAACCGCATGGTTGTAAATCCAACAAAATGTTCAGTAATCACGTTCTCACGGAAGAAACATCCAATTACATTCAGTTATATCCTAAAAGGCGTTGACGTACATCGTGTTAATCACATTAAGGATCTGGGAGTCATCTTAAATTGTCAACTCACATACAGCCAGAACGCTCGGCTTCATTTTCAGGATAGCTAAAAGTTTCACGGACATCTACTGTTTGAAGTCGCTTTACTGCTCCCTCGTCCGGTCGGTGTTAGAATACTGCCGTCCTGTATGGAATCTCAATTACCAAAACATTGTACAAAGAGTAGAGTCTATTCAACGACGATTCATCTGGTTTGCCCTTCGACGATTGCCTTGGAGGGATCCTCATCGCCTTCCAAGCTACGAAAGTCGGTGCCTGTTAATTCACCTGGATCCTTTGTGGAGTCGAAGAGATACGACAAGTCGACAAGGGCTCTGTTTGTGGCAGACATTCTACAGGGCAGAATCGGTTGTGCTTTAATTCTATACACTGAACCAATAACAAACTTAAATTTTACCTGACAATTCAGGTGACTTCTTAAAAACAAGATTCTAATAAAATTTACATGCTACACGTTAAATTCAACAATATGTTAATGAAATATACTGGATTTACTGGTCGAGTCCATGTGTCATGCTGGTGAAGGTTATGTGAAATTCACGTAAATTTTCCGTGATCTCATGGCGTGAAAATGTTCTGTGCATAACCTCGTAAGTTCAAGATGGTGACAGAAGAAAGTATTGGCATTCCCCATTGTTGGTGACAGAAGAAACTATTGGCATTCCCCAAATTTTAGTTTAATAAAACACTTTGAAAATAAATGTGTTACCAAAATAATTGGCAACAAATTCACTTAAAACTAACTATAGAAGCCTGTGAAACTTACTTGAAAATTCACGTAACTTTAAAGTGTTGCCAATTTGAATACCATCTGTTGGTCCGGTATAGTTTACGTGAAAATCACTTGATTTTTATGTGCTTCATTTGAACGGGATTTCAATCTCAAAACACGTAATATTCACCTGAAAAGTAAGATGGAAAATATCTACGTACCTTTTTAGGTAAATATTACGTGAATTTTATTTGCAGTTACAGAGTGCTCGTGGTGGAACGTTAAAGTCGATTTGTTGTATACAACAAATCGACGTTAACGTTCAACCACGAGCACTCTGTAACAACGCAATGCGGAGGATACCTTTTCGTTGTACAAACTATAGTTTGTATGGTGCTATCAAAGGGCTACAAAGCTACAATCGTGTTGCTTCCTAATTTGATTTTCACTTGGCATGCGAGACACTACGTCAGAGCTTCCGTGATATATTTTTAGAGATTTAAGAATTAAGTTGAACTTCACGGCCTTTGCAGCTTGTTACTTCTTGACTACCCAACAATCAATTCACAGTCACAAATAAGCATGCACATTGAATAAATGCTGTATAACAGTGTACAATGCTGAATAAAACAGGATGTCGAATTATGTGCTGAAAAAAGCTCATTGAGATCGAAAGATGCGCCTTTATTCCGCCGTTTGCTCTGATATGACTAATTTACTTATTAAAAGCTTTATAAACGTTGACTGTCTTCCTGATTCAGAACCAGAAGTTTGATCGAATAACAAACTGAATAAGTGTAATTTGCACACATATTTACGCTTTAATTCGACTGTTTTCAATTGATTTAATAAAATGCATTATTAGACGTCATATAAACGTTTTATAGCTCCATTATTAGATTTCATTGTACAATATTGCTGTAAAAAGGTGAATACAGTCAACAAAATTAGCTCTTGTACCACTTTGCGTTAATGTTTTAATTGCATGCCTTGTAAATGCTTTATAAACAGCGTATTAGATTCATTATGTGTTAGAAGGTTGATCTAATAACAAACTGAATAAGTGTAATTTGCACATAAATTTTCGCTTTTATTCGACTGTTTTCAATTGATTGAATAAAATGCTTTATTAAACGTCTTATAAATGTTTTCTAGCTCCATTATTAGATTTTATTGCATTGCTTTACAATATTGCTGTATAAAGGTGAATACACTCAGCAAAATAGCTCTTATACCACCTAACAAACAATTCAAAGTCACAAATAAGCATATACATTGAATCAAAAAAATGCTGAATAAAAAGAGTTGTCGAATTATGTGCTGAAAAAGCTCATTGTTCCACTCTGATCTGATTAATTTACTTATTAAAAGCTGTAAAAGTGTTTAATGTCTTCCCAATTCAACGCCAGAAGTTTGATCTAATAACAAACTGAATAAGTGTAATTTGTACATACATTGACACTTTAATTCGACTGTTTTCAAATGATTTAATAACATGCTTTATTAGAAGTCTAATAAATGTTCTTCAGTTCCTTTATTAGATTTCATTGCATTACTTTACAATATTGCTGAATAAAGGTGAATACAGTCAGCATAATAGCTCTTATACCACTATGCGACCATGTTGTAATCACATGATTTGTAAATGCTTTATTAACGACGTATTATATTCATTATTCGACAACACTGATTCAGTCTTACAACAAGGCGAAATCAGTAGAGTACACAGAAACAAAATCCATTGGTAAAATTACTATATTGATGGTTTAAATTAAATACTCGCACCAATAGATTTGTGCAGAAACGAAATTCATTTAATATTACTTATTTTTCTATCAAAACTACTATGCCGTTTGAGTAAGCATAGTAGTTTTGACAGAGTGGTATTAAATTTGTTTATATTTATAGTCAGCTATACTGAAATCATGGTAGATTTAACGGCATTAAGCACAGTTATACTGAAAATAAGTGTTTTCTGCAAAATAGTATTCCTAACTATGGTCTTTGTTTCAGTGTAGTGGTTACCGTTTCCGCTTTCCAATTAGAAGGTCGTGAGTTCAATCCCAAGCTCAACC